TACTGCTCAGCACTATGACTTTGGAAAATTCATTCTGCTGAGCAGTAGGAAGGTATTAATTAATAATAAGTTAATTTAAAATTTAATAAATAATTGGTCCGAAATTCCATTGATTTTTCGTCCCTGGTCCGAAAAGTCACCAGAGTTTCGGTCCGGTCCGAAAGATCGTGGGGCCGAAATTCATGTAATCCGATTTTTTTCAAAATAATTTTTAAAATATAATTTTGCAAAAACCAGCACTTACGAAAAATGAAAGTTTTAAAGATTAAGTTTCATTTCTGTTTCAAAAGGCGATTTCTTTTTTCTATAGATGGCACCGTCATACTGACATCTCCATTTGTTAACGAATAAAAGTAGTTGGAATAAGATATACATAAAGTTTCTAATATTTGAAATATTTATGATTCAACAGTGTGCATCCTTGATTTTGAATTAACAATAAAATATTGCATAAATTTAAAATTAATTACAGAAAAACCTTGCGAAATCTTAATAATATCTCGAAAAATTAAAAGCATTGGTTTTAGCATTCATAGTAATGCTATGCTTTTGATTTTTCTACAAAATTTCTAGATTTTAAGATCACTGTTTTAAACTAATTGCGACTCATCTATGACCTTGATGAAGAGAAAAATAGTAATAATGTCAATCATCGTTTACTGCTTCAAAAGAGCTTTTTTCAAGAATATCTCAAAACCCAAAACAAATCAAAACTTTTCCAAAACCAATACGTCAAAACCAAAACCACATCAAAACCATGTCATCGAAACCAAAACCACCCCAAAACCAAGACTTCAATACCAAAACCTCAAAACTTGTTTTGGTATTGGTGCATGCCTAGTTCTACACCATCTCAAAGTTATGTCATAATAATTTCACTTGCATCTTGTTGTAAGAATAGACATACATTTATAATGAATAACTATAGAAGAGTGGAATTAAATTATTTCTATTCTTACAAATTCTCCATTATCTTTTCTTTCCATAAAACTCGTTAATAATACATCGTACAAGTTTTAAAAAGTAATGCTTGTTAGTAATCATTATCTCCTCAGATCAAATAGCAAGCTAGTAGCTCAAATTAAGTGAAATTATAAAATCTTTGTTTCAAATTAAAAAAATCGCTTAGAATCTAACACTTAGCCAGTATTTTCTTAATTCAAAATAAAATTTATACACGTCCAGTAATGTATTTTATATTATGAAATAGAAAATCTAACACGGATATACTTTCAAGTTAAAGTTGTAATATAAAATGTCTAAAATATGAATTCATTCTTTCACAGAGATGGGCAACTCCAACTCGGAGTTGGAGTTAACTCCGGAGTTGACACTTTAACTCCTTGGAGTTGGAGTGGAGTTAGATCAAAATTTTGAAAAACTCGGTGGAGTTGGAGTGGAGTTTATGTCTGTTTGGAGTGGAGTTGGAGCGGAGTTGGAGTAGAATTTTGAAAAAAATGGGTGGAGTTGGAGTGGAGTTGGAGTAGAATTTTGAAAAACTGGGTGGAGTTGGAGTGGAGTTGATGTCTATTTGGAGTGGAGTTGGAGCGGAGTTGGAGTTGAGTTTTGCAAAAATGGGTGGAGTTGGAATGGAGTTGGTTTTCGTGATTTTTTCCAACTCCGATTTAACTCCTGTTGACTTAATTTGTTGAAAAAAAGATGTCAAAGTTTTATAGACAAAACATAAATTGATAATCATATTTTTCTTATTGGTTTCAAATAAAAATGTTCCCTGATAAATCTGTATTTTTTTACAATCGTATTAATAAAAAATCGACTTATTAAATCGGAGTGGAGTTAGAAAGAGTTGGAGTTGGAGCTGGAGTTGGAGTTTATTTTTAGAAAATTGGAGTGGAGTTGAATGGAGTTGGAGTTGAACCGGAGTGGAGTTGGGTAAATTTAGGTGGAGTTGGAGTTTAGTTGGAGTGGAGTTAGGTAAATTTATATGGAGTTGGAGTTGAACTGGAGTTGGAGTTAGATGGAGTTGAAGTGATTTTTTAGAAAATTGGAGTGGAGTTGAATGGAGTTGGAGTTGAGTGGAGTTGAAGTTGAACTGGAGTTGGAGTTGAATTTTAGAAAATTGGAGTGGAGTTGGAGTGGTGTACCCCCGGAGTTGCCCATCTCTGCTGTTGTTATGATTCATGGATAGTAGAAAGTGTTATGATAGATATCTAGATTTTTTTGTTTTGATTATATTTTCAGATAAATGATGAAGCCAAAAAAAATTTTATTACATCTAATTTATTTTTTATTTTAAATAATCTCATTCAAAGATACAATATATTTAAGAAAAAAAATACAATCAAATGGCTTTAGATATAGATGATATATTACCCGATCGTGAAAGTGGTATGATTTTTAAAACAAAATAATTCTAATCTAGATTTTTCTTCTTTCTATTAAGCTCGTCCATTCTATCAAAAATATGATCCAAAAGAAGTACTTGGTAAAGGTCTCTCATCAGTTGTACGTAAATGTGTTGAAAAAGCAACTGGAAAAGAATATGCATGTAAAATTATGGAATTTAATGATGATAGTGATGAAGAACGTATCTCGACTTTACGTGAAATTCAAATACTTAAATTAGTTGGTGGTCATCCCAATATAATTGATATAATTGCCTCATTCGAAACACCAAATTATGTATTTATTGTTATGGAATATTGTCCATATGGAGAATTATTTGATTATTTAACAAAAGTCGTCCGATTATCAGGTTTAATTATATTTATAAATACATAAAAAGAAGATTTTTATTTTTTAGAAAAACGTACTCGTCAAATAATGTCAAGTATATTAGTTGGTGTTAATCATTTACATTCTCGTCATGTTGTTCATAGAGATTTAAAACCAGAAAAGTAATAGAAAGGCATAAAAAAATGATTTTGTTTTTATATTATTTAATTTAGCATTCTAATGGATTCAACAATGAATGTTAAAATAACAGATCTAGGTTTTGCTGTTCAAATTAGCGAAAATGAATCTCTATTTGATCTCTTTGGTACACCTGGTAAGTTTTTTTGTTTTAATTTAATAAAAACGAAATTTTTTTCCCTCAAAAGGTTATATGGCTCCAGAATTACTTCGTTGTTCACAGTTTGAAAATATGCCGGGTTATGGTCTTCCAATTGATTTATGGGCATGTGGTGTTATTTTATATACACTTCTTAGTGGTCTACCACCATTTTGGCATCGTAAACAACATTTAATGTTTCGTGCGATAATGGAAGGACAATATACAATGACTGGTTCCGATTGGGATGATGTATCTGAAACAGCAAAAGATTTAATTCGTCATTTATTAGTTATTAATCCAGCTGAACGTTATACAGCTGATCAAGCACTTCAACATCCATTTTTTAATGATGATCGAACACGACGACGAGATTTTATGGCTAAAAGAACACTTAAAGCACATATTATTCTTGTTTGGTCAATACATCGTTTAAGAACATTACATTATAGACCACAACCTATACGAGGAAAAGAATTATTAGAAAATCCATATCGATTTAAATCTTATCGTAAAATGATTGATTCAACAGCATTTCTTCTCTATGGACATTGGATTAAAAAAGATGAACATCGTAATCAAAATCGTGCGACTTTATTTCAAACAGAAGAAAAATCTGATCTTGTCCGTCATGAACAACAACAACAACAATTACTTAATCAATAAAAATTTAAATTTATATCATATACAATATTAAATAGTTTCTATTTTTTATATTGAATAACACTAAAAACCCGGTTTGTTTTTCCTAGTTTCTTTTTTATTTTGTTCATTGTTTACCTCAATTGACTTAAATTATGTATCCTTCATACAAATTTTTTTCTAAATGAATAAAAATAGATAAACAACTTATTTTCATATGATTCATCCAACTTCAATGTTATTATATATGACAATAATTATTCATAGTAAAAATTTTCTCAACTTGAAAAGCATATGACATGTGTTATAAGATATGATATTCAGTATGAGACATATGGTGAAGAGGTACCTATACTTTCATACTCAATTAAATGGCAAAGTAATTGCTATTCTATTGATGAATAAAAAAATTCTTGGAAAAAATACATCAGTATGAAGTCTCTGGAGACGAAGAAATCTTAGTATAATTTATATCATGACGGGTGCTGAAACTGTTTCTACAAAAATGTCACTCTATTCGTCATTAGCTACGACGTACTTGTAAAAGTACCTTTTTCAAATTTACGTGGTATGACTACAGTAGAACGACTGATATTTTAATATTCTTTGAATATTTTATATTTTCCATTATATACTGTCGTTCTTTTTTTCATTATAATCGTCGTTGAGTTCTTCAGAAACCTGATAGAAAATACTACAGTATTGATTAAAAATCGATTGTATTTTACAGCTGTAATACATCTAAGTACATAGTCATTGCTCAAAGGCAAGACATCATAGATGTCTCCTGCATAAACAGGTAGTTAGCGTTTTTAACCTAGATTTTGAACAAATATTAGCTATTCTTTCAAAACAATATTGCAGGATGATCGATTATTTATATAAATATTGAACAAATTTATTTCAAAGTTTCTGCTTTTGTATTCATGACTTTCTTATTAATATTGATGAAAGAGTTTTAATACTTAATCTTAAGATTGATATTGACTTATTGTTTGCATATGATTCATTATAAGAAAACGCTCTATTTTTCTTGTATGTCAATAATTGTACAAGGTAAACCGGCGTCTAAGTAAATATATTCTATTGAACAATTCGAAATTTTTATTACATAGATATATATCTTCCTCTCCCAATGGAAAGATAGCTTTACATTAGCAAACAAATAAAATAAAATTTATAATTTCTATGTGTAGAATTCCATTTATTTTTTTTCTCTGTTAAAATAAACACTTTCTTATAATGATTGTTATTATAGTCATATAATTTAATTGAATATTTAACTTAATTTAATAAAGATAAATTGTTGTAAGGCATTCCAGTAAATTAAATAGATACTTATAATGATAAAAAGAAAAGTGTAGACGAAAAAAAAAATTAATGCATTGTTTTTCATCGACGACGACGACGTCCAACAATACCTGATCGCCATAATCCTTGTGTTAAAGAATTTTGTTGTTTGTTTAAATTAGCCTCTAAATCAAGATCTTTATCATTTTCATCTTTTTTAGCAAAAAGCCAAAAACGTTTCTCTCGTGAATTTTCCATTGTATCTATAAATTAAATAATTAAATATAATAGATAAATATCATTTTTTCAATACTTACGTCGCATTTTTTCAGGCCAATCTAAATATGGTTCTTCTAATTCAAAATTATGTCTATTTGAAAATGAAGGAATATCAATATAAATTGGTTTGTTCATTAATGGATAATGACCATGACTAGAAAGTGCACGTTGAATAGCATAATGTTCAATGAAATCATCATCATTTGTTTCATTTTCGTCATTCTCAATTGGATAACTATTACCTATTTATATAAATCTTAAAAACTTTCTAGATAATTTTAAGATTAATACTTACAAAAAGTACTACATAGAAAAAGAATAAAAACAAGGCCAGTAAAATTAACAGTAATCATGTGGAATGAATAAGATTGATATTATCTATTAGAATGATATATTTCTTACACTATATATACTTCTTTTTGACAAATACTTATGACTTTTACGCCTGTTAATTTTTGAGAAGTTATATGAATTTTTGTAATAATATAAAAAAATCATTAACGTCACTTTTTCTTTCTCTAGAAACAAATGTTATGTCATCAATGGAACGATGACAGATGGTCAATAGATGGTTATCCATAAATAATGAACGTAGGCGTTTAGGCATTATCGTTTCTTTTATCAAAGTCAACTAATTTAAGTAGAGTATCTATTAAATGAATGAAAATGTTGTTGCATGATTTTGTAATCTTTTTTAAAAGGTTTCAAAGGTTATTCTAGTTGTTACTACTACCTACACATTGATTACATTATTTTTAATAGTTTTATCTAATTTTTTGTATTTATGTGAAATACTGAAAGTTTCTTATTTTGATATAGTTGGATAGAGAATCGAGTATTCTATCGAATCATATAATTTACACTGTATGTCCCTCCGTTCTAGTGAAAAATTTCTTTTTAAACAGCATATAGTACGTTTAATTAAAAACAAAATATAACAGAAGATGTAGGATAAAAAGCTTTACAATTTACATAAAACCGCTAAATTGTAGAGCTTCTCGCGTTGCATCGTTTGGCATATTTTTTCTGTTTCTACAACGATAAAACTAAAAAAGGAAATCTCTTATTCCTGTTAAAAAAATGTTTTTTGAACTACACTCGAGGATAAAGTAGTTGATGCTCTATCTATCTATATCAAAATAAGAAAGTTTTAAATGTTCCAGATACATACAACACATCACACAAAACTATTAAAGATAACGTAATCAACCTATAGAAATTAAGATGAGGGTAGTTCCATGGGTTTGATGCTTCCATTTTTATCGTTCTTGAAGTTTTGCTATAAGGTGAACATCAAGATACTATACTTTTACTGATTGCTTTTATGATGAGGATTATTATTGTTAAGATTGCTATCAATCATGATTTTCCTTCGTGTATAATTAGTAACTTCAAAAAATTATATGTAAACAATTTGAATATATACAGGAAGATTGGAATTATAGAATTTTCTGAATAAAACAGAACAGACTTTATAGAAACATGAAATTTACTGTTTATGCCTCGATCCAATGTCTACAATGAATCAAAATGAATATAAAAGATTTATTCACTCTCGAGTTTTTTACGGAGATTTATTTAAAATATTTCATTTTAATAACCGGCATATTTTTTAATAAATCTGGAAGGCATTCTTAACCAAATTTACATCTAATAACAAAAGATTATGTCAACTCGAGTTCTTATATACCATAAACTGCATCCATCACCATTAAATACAATATTTATTTTGACTAGAATATATATCTTGATTATGGAATTATAATTGTAGACTTTAAAGTATGGAAAAACTTTGTTTTCAAGGGTTTTTGATTCACGGCTAATGTTGATGCCTCGCGTATGTTGCTGATAACGTTAAATCGCTTAACATATTTTCTCAATATTGATTCTGGCTGTCAAGAATTTTCAAAGTTAAAATGAGGTATGATCGATCATTTTTTATCAACATATGTATTACTATAACCAATCATTAGTGACATCTATTTATAAAATTCGCTGAAAAAATTTGTATTTTTCCATTTAAAAATCCTTTCTTTATATTTTTTAAAAAATAAGTTTAGTTTTTATTCATTTACTTATTATTTATCTATATCCAATACATTCCATAGTGTACTTAACTCACGCCTTATTTACTCAAAAACGGTCAACTCAACTCAATCAGTTACTCAGATATTTGCATTTGTGTCATCAACCTTTTTATTGATTGATAACTCTTATATTCTATAGTTCACATACGTTCTCTTTCTTTTTGTCTATATTTATTAAAACAAAAACTTCAAATTGTCCAGTTTTTTTTTCTTATAATCTAAATCAACAATTTCAATTCAAATTTTTTTTTACTTCATAGATCTAATACATTCCAACAAAGAGATTTAATCATGGCCAACAGTTCTGATGAAATGCGACAATATCGTGAAGCTTTTTCACTTTTTGACAAGGATCATGACGATATAATTGCACCACAAGAACTTGGTAATTATATATTTATAGAAGAAGAAAAAAAGTACATTTACTTTTCTTTTATCGATTAAGGTGTTGTCCTTCGTTCATGTGGTTTATCACCATCCGAAGCTGATTTACAAAAAATTCAACAACAAGTTGGTCGTAAAATAGATTTTAATACATTTGTTTCAGTTGCACAAAATTTTAAAGCAAATAATCGTGAAACAGAAGATGATATACGTGAAGCATTTCGTGTATTTGATAAAGATGGAACAGGTTATGTTAGTGTTGCTGAACTTAAACATGCTATGATATCATTAGGTGAACGACTTACTGAAGAAGAAGTCGATGAATTAACACGTGAAGCTGATATTGATGCTGACGGACGGTAAGAAAAAGATGAAGTTTCATTTTATCTTCAATTCCTATATATTTTTATTTAGATGTAATTGTGAAGATCTCGTACGAATTTTAACCAATAAACAACGCTAAATATCAAAATTTTTCTCTATCAAAATATGAACAAAACTATACATTCCATCTAATTGCCTTTTTGTGTCTAATTTCTGTAATTCATAACATTCTGTTTTTCTTTCTTTTTCCGTAATATGCTTTGCAATGTCTATAAATTTTCTTCTTTTAAAAGTTATCTGTTATTGACTCTTCAGTTTAAAATATATATTTACATCTGAATGATATAAATAAATATTGATAGAATAAACTTATTTATGATTAGATATCCTTGATGATATATGATATGGAGAAATTTTGTACGATGATTGGAGTAATACTATTCTTTTGATATAGTTCGTTGCATCAGTAGTTTCCAATGGATCATTGATTCTAGACCAAAGAAATATTATAAGGTATGTTTGAAATGATTAATATTTCTATACAAATTGAAGTGGTTTTATGATGCAGAAAATGATTAATATTAGATTGCTAATTGATGCACAAATATAACATCGTTATTTGAAAGATGAGCAAAACTCTAAGTAGAAAATTGATCAAATAATGGTGACAAAAAATGAAGACATTAGTTACAAGAATTTGTAAGTATGTTATAAACAATCTGAATAAATATAGAAGACTTTTTATTATATCTTGGAAACTTTAAGAAAGAGTTGTATAGATAAGAAGAGCGACGACATAATTAATGAAACCTGAGAAGAAAATATCTATCATTTTATTTCTAAATTATATATTTATATTACAAGTCAATACATAAAATAGTAAGGAAAATAACCTTTTTGCGATATACTAAAAACTCTTCAATATAATATTTTATTTAGTACTCTTAACATAGCAGAAAAAACGATTTTATTCTCATTAACGAAGCAGAAATTTTTATCGTATTCAATAAATTCATATGTAGATTGACGCTTACTTCTTAGTCGAGCATAATAGTACACTTTAAATAATGAAAGTTAGATTCTTTTGTATTAAACTTGTCATCAATCACAGATCATAGTTAATTATTGAAGCAATTCAACAAATTTCTTCATACATTTAGAAAATGATGATGTAATATGATAACAATCGTTGATATATCTATCACCATTTCAATAACTAGAAACCAAAATTTTCATTTCATAATAACGTACAGTCGTAGTTTATTTTTGTATAGAATCAAAATTTATAATTTATATAAATGATTAATTGCCTTCTAAAAACAAATTTGATCATAAATATTTATTTGATTTAGTTACTTATTACTAAGGCTTATTTGAATATAAGATTTTGTTATTTTGTATTATTTTTTTTCTATGCATTTGATGAGAAAAAAATATCTGACATTAGATTTTGATCAAATACTCGTAAATTTTGATATAAATGAGTGAATGCATACAGTTTCTTTTCTTATTTCATAAATCCTTCCGAGACATTATAAATAATATAAAGTACGGAATAATTTTTCTACTTCGATTAACAAAGTTATGGTAAATAGATTATATAGCACGAGTACTTTATTTTTTCTTTTTCATGTTTCTTTTTAATAGTCTATTGTATATTGACGTATTGGAATGTAAAAATAATCTATCCTCTTTCCGTATTTAGAGTGTTGTCAACTTATGTATATAGGGGCACACACATATAATATATATAAATAAAGATATATTTCCAACTACGCCATTCATCGACTATGTTTCTAAAAATACCAATAATCATCATATTCATCCTCATATGCTTATTTGTTATTTTTATAAAGGAACTGTGCTGTCGTTTGTGGTTGTTGTTGTTATTATTATTGTTAGCGATTGAAACGTGAAGCAAAAGAGAAAAAAA